CTGAAACTGTATAAAGAATGTAGAATTTAGTGAAGAAACACAGAATATTTATATTATTATTTTCTCACTGGTCTCTCTTTATATAGTCAGAGATAGACTTGTGGTCCTACTCTGGCTACCTGAGATCCCTCCTCTATATGAAAATATCGATGAACAATACTCATGAGTATTTTGTCGAAAGTGGTATGAGTACTTAACAATACCCAAGCATGAGTACTCAAAGTCGTACTCAGAGTACTTATTACTCACTCATGAGTACTCAGGTGAGTACTCAGTGAGTAAAAAAATGTATGAGTACGTATGAGTACTCGTCCGGTTTTTCTATCAGAGTACTTTTTGAGTATTCACACTTGAGTACATTCACTAGGGTTTACACCATCTGAAACATAATCATAAGATACCGTTAATATCCCAAAAACAGGTGAAAAGATAAGCCTAACACAAATGCGTTGGCAAAGATAAATTGTCTTTCAAAAAAATGTATGCAACACAACATACACATAAACAAAAAAGGACGAAGGCACAACAGAAAATTTTTGTTTTATATTCTAAGTATGCGGTGTGATGCATGCCTAGTAGAACCTATCAGATCAAACAATGACAGAAGGAGGGAGACATCAGTGACTCAAAAGTTTGTTTAAAGTTGACATGAAGGAGACTTCATCGTGGATCAAGCTGTAGAAGAACATCAAACAATTAACTGTTATTAAAAGAAGGATGTATAACTGAAGACTCAAACTACCTTTGTATCTTGCCAACACTCCTCGATGCGTGGTTGAAAAAAGACTGTGATCATGTGCATGTCGCTAGGACCAAACAATTTTAATGTGAGTTTCAGCCCGAGAGCAAAGAAGACTTATGATATCTCATGAGTTTTTTTTATACAAAAAAAGCTTACAGTTAATAAAATCCTACAAAACCAGTTTATAAGGACGATGAGAAAAAGTATTTAGGAAGAATCAGCTAGTGGCGGTGTATTAAGCATTTTATTTGAACATTCAGGTCCTGAATAACCTTGATTACATTTACATGTTCCAAAATAAAATTTTCCAGTCGTTACACACCGCCCATTCACAGAACTCATGCAATCATTATAACATTTAGATGTCTGATTTGTATAATTTGTAAAATTAGAATTCCAAGTTTGACTGGGCAAAAGTAAAATTCTAACTTTGATTAACGAGGGAGCCTCGCGAGGTGATATTTCGCTTTTTTATGAAAATCTAATGGGTTATAGGCTATCAACCATGCTGATTCCGAATATGACCATGGAGGTTGCACAGTGCCCTTCAAAGATCCGGTTTTCCGAAAAATCAGCTTTTCAGAAACTCTAGAAAATAACCCAAACCTTTCTTAACAATACAGAATTGTAACCCGCAAATTTCTGATTAAAATGAAACATCTCCCAGCTCTTTACGACCTTTCTTTGCAAAGTTATAGAATTATAAGAGCCGTAAATTGTTCATTGTTAGCTCAAAGCTACAGAAGTAGTCAATTTACGGCTCCTCTTATAAATTCTATAATTTTGCAAAGAAAGGTCGTAAAGAGCTGGGAGATGTTTCATTTTAATCAGAAATTTGCGGACTACAGTTCTACTAAATTGCCAGGTTCGAATAAAATCGGAGTGCCTCACTTGGGAATGTTCCTTCGTAACAGCATGATTTTAGCATATATCATCAATTTCGTGACTTCGTTAGCCGTGATCTCTGTTTTCCTATTCTAACCAATTTTCCTTGGCTTAGTGGAACTTAGAATTCTAATTTTGCCCGATCAAACTTCGAACTCTAATTTTGCCTAGGCAAATTCGAAATTTGCATGGGTTCTAAGTTTGCCTACAACACGTGTAAATGAAATGTTATATTTCTCATCATCACTTTTTTTCAATTCTGAATAGAAACAGCAACCGTATCACGTAAAATATTTTGATCTTCGAAAAAAACCGACCGATAAAAATCAAAATCGGGTTAAACCATATTTGAAAGCGTTGGCGATATTGAAGAACCACCAGAAAATGGAAATGAAATACCGAAACAATGAAATGTTCACTATGGTGATGTGATATCATGGAGTTATGATAGACCAACGGAAACGTATGTAGACATTATCGTTTCATTTCAAAAATTAAAGTCTTTAACCACAACAATCCCGAAGAGTTATACTAAATACGGCTTATGAATAATTGTTATTTACAGTTTTGATGCAAAGAAAATATATAATCGTGCTAATCGGTTAGCATTATTTCTAGACATTTTGTAACAAAAGATCGTAAAGTTCTTAAAAATCCTGATCTTTCTAGATCTGGCTATTTAAAAATCCCATTATCAATTACTCAGGATTTAACGTCGAACACGTTAGAAACATACAAAAATGTTATTGAACAGTTGACCGAACTTGTGGTATTACCGATTGAATTAAATTCCGAAAATGAATTTTTTTTAGTCAAATTCAATGGATCAAAAATTCCTAAAGCCTATGTTAAACGAAACGATATTGAATATTCATATGCTCCTGTAGAACACAAATTAGCAGTACAAATCAATAAAAATAGAAAAAAATTTGCAAACGAATTTCCTACCGATAAAGAGGAAAAATTAGACAATATTATAAGTAAGTTGAATCAACCGGACAGAAGAGGAAAGATTAGTAAGACAAAGTTGTGAGATACACCAATAACTCTTCTATATCTACTCACTTCACTCATTTTGCAAATTATCGGGGAAAAATCACTTTAAGCCTGAAAAGCCACTTAAAGGGCGGCGGACGATTTCTGCAAGAAAATGACCTTATCTATTTTTGAGAAAATAATGAATGGAACCGAACCGTTCGTTATTTAGTATTAATGCAGATCTTTCTTCATATTTGCTGTAGCTATTATCTTCTAGGAGAAAAACTGATAATGCACGTGCATTAATGGTTTTGAGAGCACCGTGAATAAAAGTCGCGAAGTTATGTACTATTCAACGTATAAATACTGGACGGTATACTTTCTAAAAAGCTGATGTATTTGAAACACGTTAAATTCTGCAGTTTTCTATATCATAAACATTTCCGGTTCGATTTTATGTATATTCTTCGACAGTATTTGTTCAATACATCTACGAAGGCAAATTTTCAAATAATGTGTTATAGCTCATTTTATAGTTTTTTTCAATTCTACATTTTTTTGTGTTTAAACCATTCCGGGTCTGAGTGCACTGGCAAAACTATATGCAATGAGGGTCACATATATGGGTCAATTCAATACAGATATATTTATTAGATATTCGTCTTAAGAACAAATGGCGTCGGACAATCAACTCTTACAAATACACGAAAACGTTTCTAAGTTCAAAAAATATTTTATTACGACTTAGTTTTGAAAAAAGAACATGCATTGATCATTCCCCAGTGTGGAGAGATTGTCTTCCCATTTTAAAAAGTTTTCTAAGTAGCGTAGTTCACTAGATCACATTGTGCACATTTTGTAAAAAAATGACTAAACAAAAATAAAATAAAATCCCCGTAAAAACATATAATGTCTGTCGACAAAATTAGAATTTATCAAATCTTTTATTGCACCGACATGATGATATTTTTATACAGCTAAATAATATTGCACATAATAGTTGCTTATACAATAAATATTTCTTTCTCTGCTGATTATGTAAATAAAAAATTGAATATTTCGCATAATAGTATGTTGAATAAATTAACTTTCTCTTAAATTTTTCAACTGTTTATGATACAAAAAATTAAATGAATAAATTATAAATTTGTGATCATGTTTCCTAGTTCTCAACTTTCTCGTACTCAAGTTTCCTCGTGCCCAATTTTTCTGGCACCCACATTTCCTCGTGCTCATCTTTCATCCACCTGTTAGTTCAACTTTTTCTCTCTACAGCATCCTGATGGTGGTTAGTGAGTCTGCTGGATCTATATACAACAATGTTTACTCTATCATAATCCGTTTTGTAAACCTTGTACTTTTGCAAACTGCGACCAAGTACCTTCAGTTATCGATTTTAGCGACATTCGAACATTTCAAGCAATAGTTTTTCACGAAATCATAGCAAACGATATATCTATTGTAGAATGATAGAATTTATGGTCGAAATTTTTCTGAAAAGCTGAAATGATTGAGGCAAAACTTTCAGTTAATCACTTGTCAGACCATCTTTTCATCATTATTTTATTTTTCTACATCTCACTCATTCTATTATTCGGCATTGCTTAGCCTTCTAAAATTATGCCTGACGCTACAGATAACTTTCTAAAAGTTACAAAAATTACTTTACAATAGATTGTTAAGAAGACAAATCAGATTCACAAATATTTCGGAAGTATTCGAAGACACTAGTAAGAATGTTCTATTCTCTGTAGGGTAATTAAAAATTTCGACACAATTTTTTCACGATATTTTATAAATGGTTGGAGAAAGCGCATTGAGTTGCCTAGAAAAAAGTGGTTTTTGCTTTTACAAAACGACTTTTGTGAGAGAAAGTTTAAGAAAAAGTAAAATTTTAAAACTCGTTGTCAAACGATTAATACTGATGAGCTTCCCTACATCTGATGTAGCGTATTACATGGAAAGGGAAAATTTTAAATTAAAATTTTAAAAAATTTAAAACCCGGTGGTGATATATTATTTATCATGTGCCATAATTCTTTGTTATCGACTTTTTATAAGATTATTTACTCACATGTCAATGATTTCTTTTTAATAGAGTAACTCTTTTTTAAAGCTTCATGTATTTTAGCTAAAATCCTGTATTTTTTGAATAAAACTTTTATGGATTTTCCACTAAAACCTTTCGGTTTTCGGTAAACAAAAAAGAACGGAACCCTTCCCCGTAACTACGCAAGATTCTTCAGCAACAGCACAAAAAGCGGAAAACTGCATCGTTTGGCACGTTTTCAGTTGATCTACAGTTCGATAAACAAAGTTTTTGACCGCCTTGAATAGACATTTGGCTTCAGAAAAAGAGATAGATTGGCATCAGATATGGAATAGAAAATGAGAAAGAGAAAGAAAAAAACTATACTTATACAATAAAGTCGACTGAGTGAAACGATAGGGAGACTTATTCTGTTTGGTTTCGAGCGTTGACTAGCTAAATTCTTCTTTCTTTCTTTCTTTAAGTCGACAGAGTGAAACTCAAGGAGACTTATTGCTTTTTGATTCGAAAGCTCATAGATCGTAGATGATACAAATGAAGTTAGTTTTCGGATATGTGCTGTAGTTACGCTGTAATTAGCCCTACAAAACGAGTATATTTTTCAGAAAACTCGATCGTTTTCTGTTAGATAATTAATCGTCACGTGATACCCTTCGTACACTGTTAGAAATCTGTGTTCTTCCGTTCTTTGGAGAACATGGTGAAGAACACGAATGTGTTCTTTGAAAACTGAAGAACAGAATATATGTTCTTCAGCCTATTTTCGCGTTTTTGTTCTTCAGT